TCCTCATTTTGGTTAGATCAGTATTCAGTGATTACATTATTATAACTGGAAATGCTCTCCACAGCTGTGAGATGCATGATCGTTTTTCCTGCACGATCTCTTGATTTCTCTGGTGTTAATACTTAATTCAACTGCACGTTCGTCCTCAGTGTGTAAATCCCCCTGGTACATTCAGGCACTTCAAGCTGCCTCCCACTTGCACCCAAGGCAGTCTCTCCTGGTGCATTCTGGCCTACTCGAGCCAGAACTCTGCTGCTTGTGGGCCCACATTCTCCACTCAGTTTTTTTCTTAACAACTTTCTTGAGATATAATGCACATGACATACAGCTCACCCTTTGAGAGTACATAATTTCAGTGGAGGTTTTTTTTGGGTTTTTGTTTGTTTGTGTTTGTTTGTTTTTAAGATGGAGTTTTCCTCTTGTTGCTCAGGCTGGAGTGCAATGGTGGGATCTTGGCTCACTGCAACCTCTGCCTCCCGAGTTCAAGCAATTCTCCTGACTCAGCCTCCTGAGTAGTTGGGGTTACAGGCGCATACCACCTTGCCTGGCTAATTTTTGTATTTTTAGTAGAGATGGGGTTTCACCATGTTGGCCAGCTGGTCTCGAACACTTGACCTCAGATGATGCACCCACCTGGACCTCCCAAAGTGCTGGGATTACAGGTGTGAGCCACCACCCCCTACCCTCAGTGGTTTTTATATTCACAAACTGTGCAACCATCACCACTCTCTAATTCCAGAACATTTTTGTTGTACCCCAAAGAAACCTAATACCCTATAGCAGTCAGTCTTCATCCCTCCTATCCCCAGACCCTGGCAGCCAAGACCTATGGACATTTTGTGTGCGTGGGATTGGGTAATCTGCAGCCTTTTGGATCTGGCTTCTTTCTCCTGGCTGAATGCTCTCACGGTCTATCCGTGTTGCAGCGTGAGTTGGCTCTTCAGTCCTCTCATGTCTGAATAGAACTCCCCTGCATGCCTAGACCACATCTTGTTGACTTACCAGGTGACAGTCATTTGGGTTGTTTCTGCTTTTTTGTTACTATGAAAAGTTCTCTGGCTCACTTCTGTGTCAGATCCCCTATATCTTTACAATTCCTAGATTTCTTCTCTTCTTTAGGTGCGAGGTAAAGTTTCTGCAAGGACACGTGTCTGAAAATGCCTTTATCCTGCCTGTCACGTGGCTTGCCTGGGTATATAATTTAAGGCTCGAAATCATTTTTCTTCAGGATGTTGAAGATGTTTCTTCATTGTTTTCTAGCTTTCCGTGTTGCTGTTTAGAAATCCTACGCCATTTCTAGTTTTTATCGTTTGTAAAAATTCTTCCTCTACTTCAGCAGTTGGTAGGCTGTCTTCTCTGTGTCCTGTGTTCTGGAGTCTGTGAGCGAGGCTTGCTTTTGTCCATTTTGCTGGACATTCATTGAACTCTTCCATCCTGCCCCTCGTTTCTGTTGACTCTGAATTATATCTTTGCTTTCCTCTTCTGTGTGTTATCTTTTTCTCCTTTCTTGATCTCTTCTCATTTGGACTTGCAGTTCTCTGTTCCCCCCCCTGTTTTTTTTTTGGGGGGGGGGGACAGGGTCTTGCTCTGTGGCCCAGGATGGAGTGCAGTGACACCATCTCAGTTCACTGCAACCTCTGCCTGCCAGGCTCAAGCAAGCCTCCCACCTCAGCCTCCCAAGTGCCTGGGACTACAGGCACGTGGCACCACACCGCACTAATTTTTGTGGTTTTTGCAGAGGTGGGGCGTCGCCATGTCACCCAGGCTTGTATTCCATTTTGTTATTCGTTGCCTCTTATTTTCTGGAAATTTTGCTACCCTTTCCCTTATAGTCCCTGTTCTGTTTCTGCTGTTATAGTTCACTCTGTAAAAGGGCTTTTGTGTGCTTTGTGTTTTTCTTTTTCTCCTCTTTTAAATATCTCCCTATTCTTATTTCATGACTACACTGTCTCCTCCTGTCTCTCTGGAAATATTACCAGCAGTTTGCTTTTGAAGTGTTTTCCCTAAATAGTCTCTCTTTCCTGCAAGTTGCTTTTCTCTGTTTATTCCTGTCTCAATCTTTCATCTCAGTCTTTCATAAAGTTCTTAGGTGCTTTTCTCAAATGGGAGGTGATTTCTAGATGTCTACGGAGGTGTTGGAGTGCGATTAGAAACTGATTCGAAGCTCCATGAACACTGACTTTGGGCCTCTTGGGGTGATCTGGCTGTGGCATTCCACTGGAGAACTACCCCTGGTCTCCAAAGCTTTTTCAGATTCCTGGGAGAATACCTTTCTCTTCCCCGGCTTAGAGGCAAATGCCGTCTGCCTGCTATTCTGGGAATGAGTGGGGCTGGGGAGAGGGAAGAAGAATGGGAGAAGCTCAGAAGTTGAGTGTGTGTTACTTTTCTCTCTCCACTAAAAAAATAGAATACCCCAACCTCAACTCAGTCCAGACCTACCGCGTTTTCTCCAGAGAATAAACCTGTATATTCTGCTAATCGCTTCTTAAACAGACTTTTAAAACCTTTCTTTCGCTTTCTAGTCCTGTGTTCACCCTCACTTCCAGAGGTGTCTCGTGCTAACAATTCATTAGCCTTTTGTGAATCATTCCATTCTCATCAGATATTATTTTGGTGGCACGCATGTTTATTTAGGAATGAAATTTTCTCTGGCCTGTCAAGTTACTTATCAGTCATCTACCTGATTCTCAGCTTCTGTAATTTTGTTGTTTCCTCTCCAATTCTTTTTTTTTGAGCGATGCCTTTATAAAAACCCTTTTTTTTTTTGCTTTTATTATTGTTTTTGACACGTAATAATTGTACGTATGTATGCGGTAGTGTGTGATATTATGATACATGTATACGAAATTTAATGATCAAATCAGGGTACTTCCCATATTCATCATCGCCTCATAGGAAACATTTTAATTTGCTTTTTTTTTTTTTTTTTTGAGACAGAGTCTTGCTGTGTTGCCCAGGCTGGGGTGCAGTGGCACGATCTCGGCTCGCTGCAGTCTCTGTCTCCCTGTTTCATTTGATTCTCCTGCTTCAGCCCCCCCAAGTAGCTAGGAATACAGGAGTGTGCCACCATGCCCAGCTGATTTTTGTAGTTTTAGTAGAGACGGTTTCTCCATGTTGGCCAGGCTGGTTTTGAACTCCTGACCTCAAGTGATCCACTCGCCTTAGCCTCCCAAAAGTGCTGGCATTACAGGCGTGAGCCACCGAGCCCAGCCTCAATTGACAGTTTAATGGGATTTTGAGAGGATGTGAGTGTAAATTACTGTATTCAGGCTCTCATCTTTACGGAGTTCTTCACAGTTTTTCTTTCCATAACTATTCGGGGTTATCTGTTGTGATCGGGTCACTCTGTGCATTTGTGGCCCAGGACTCAGGGCTTCTTTCTGCACGTTCCCTGCTGTCACTCATGGCCTTGAGCCTTCGTCAGGCTCTAACAGTGCGGCCCGAGGAGGCTTAGCCGCCTGGCTTAGTTGCTTCAGTTTTGACTCCTGGTTTTGCTCAGCCTTACTGACTTTCACCTTCTCCCTGAAGGCTACCCCTATCACTGGGGGGCTAGTCTCAGATCGTTGCTTAGCCTCACTGCCCGCTCCATACAGCTGATAGGGCATCCAAGGGGTTTCTTGTCCTTGAACACACAGGAAACTGATCCTGCGTCGTCGATGCTTGTTTTGAGGCTTGAGGGTAATCCGCATTCTTAAACATGCTGTGGATCTTTTTCTTTGCCCTTGGTGTGGGAGGTCTTCCCTGTTCTTGTTTCCTGCTTTTCTTGGAACTATCTGGTTCATTCCCAGTTCTTCTTTATTTGCTCTTCGCTACAGAGTGGGCGTATATGGGCATATACGTAATCATGGAAACACTACTCAGAGCCGTCTGTGCCCATGCTTGCTCTGACCTGGGAGCCAGTCTCTTTAACATGTCTTTTGCATTGACGTTCTGTGTTGGTTTTCGAGTTTTTCTAGAGGTTTTCTTGCTGTCATCCTAAGTATGGTTTACAAATGCTGATCCTTGGTTTTTCACATTATTCTGACCCCCATTAGTGCTCCACAGCTGGCTGTGGGCAGGCACTACCTCACTGGATCACTTTTTTGTTGTAGAAAAGGAAACTTAGCAAATATAAAAGATGTAAGTGGACTGAATGCAGTGGCTCACCCCTGTAATCTCAGCACTTTGGGAAGCCGAGGAGGGAGGATCGCTTGAGGCCAGGAGTTCAAGACCAGCCTGGTCAACATAGTGAGAACTTGTCTCTACAAAAACTAAAAGAAAAAAAAAAAAAAGAATTAGCCTGTTGCAGCAGGGGTATGCCTGCAGTCCCAGTGACTTAGGAGGCTGAGGCAGGAGGATTGTTTGAGCCCAGGAGTTCGAGGCTGTAGTGAGCTGTATGATTGATTGTGCCACTGTACTCCAGCGTGGGTGACAGACAAGACCCCATCTCAAATGAAACAAAACAAAACCTCCACCCCCCCCCAAAAAAAAAACAAAAGAACAAATGTAGGCTCTTATGTCTTGCCAAATCTGTCAAAACATTGCCTGCTTTCTCCTGAAATGGAAAGTAGTGACAAGATTATTCCTTGACTCCTGTGCTTCTATCTCATGACAGTTCTTGCATTTTAAAAATACAGCTTAACGCTTTTTTTTTTTTTTTTAAAGTGACAAAGTCTAATTCTGTCACCCAGGCTGGATGACATTGGCACAATCATAGCTCATGGCATCCTAGACCTCCTGGGCTCAAGCAATCCTCTCCCCTCAGCCTCCTGAGCAGCTGACACTACAGGCACACACCACCGTGCAGGCCTTATCACTCGTTTTATTGTACTAAGGTGAAAATGTCCCATTGTTGAAGTAATTAGTAAGTGTGTTTGTGTGTGTGTGTGTGTGTGTGTTTTTTTCTTGAGAGCATTTTCAATCTGAAGTCATCTGAGAAAGAAGAATTTTTTCTTTTTTCACTGGGAGAATAGTTTTCGATACTGTTGAAATATTTATGACATGTCTCTCTTTCTCTAAAGTTGTGCCAAATCTTTGGAGTGTTGATGGAGAAGTTACAGTAACTGAACAGAAGCCGGGAGAAATTGCTGAAGAACTTGCAAGCTCCTATGAGAGAAAGCTCATCGAGGTAAGGCCGGTGGAGTCTGCGTCTTTGTTTCTGATGTTGGCTGCTTTGGAGACTTTCCAGGATAAGCCCAGCCTGTTCTAAAGACACGTGAGCAAAACAACCAAACAACTCCTCAGCCCCACAAAACAAAACAAGACCAAGTCAGTGTGCTTTATAAAGAGAAGTATGAGCTGATCCTTTGAAACATATCACTTAATTATTGGAAATTTCTGGCACTTACGATAAGGAAATAAGAGAAAAATATATATGTAACATTAAAAATGAAATAATTGTAACATTTGGAGATGAAAACAGGAGAGAATATCGCATGCACCTTTGTGCTGTTAAATGTGAAAATATGGATGAGGTGAACTATTTTTCAGAAAACACATTCCTTATCAGAATTAATTGAAGATGAGGCAGACTGGTCAAAGGGAACCCCTCGCCCTCAAAAGAAAAAACAAAAAACCAACACACTTTGGAATAAAGTTGTACAAGTAACTGAAGAACTGCTTCCTTAGAAGACAGTAAGCCTAGATGCTTTCATGGTGATTTCTAGGAAACTCTTCAAGGTAATACACAAAGAGCCCTTTGCTATTTATATTTCCTGAGAGGGTTTTTATACGTCTCTATCTTGGTTCAGGTATGCATTACCATGATATAAAAAAATCCTGACAAAGATAGCATAAAAAAGAACACTATCAAATAGAATCATCTGTGTATGAGATGTACAAAAATTCTAGAAAGTCATTACTCAAATTCAGTCACATATTAAAAGAACAGTGCACGTAAAACAGGGTTTATTTAGGATTGCAAGGATGGCTGCATGCTAGAAATTCATCCATGTAAATCATCTCATTAGTGGCCTCAAAGAGGAAAACCAGATATTTATCTTGGTAGGTAATGAAAAATCATTTTATAACTTTGTTGATACCTGATAAACAATATTCTTCATAAATGAGGAATAAAGGTAATTCTTGGATATGATAAAGAGGTTTTTCAGAAACCATCGATTATTACCATATTCGATGGTAAAGTTGAGAAGCTATGTTTTTGATGAGCTGTGTGTACATGTTGTAATGGTCCCTTGGTGGTAGTATTATAAGCAATGTGTGTATGTACATACATACACATGTTAACTATACAAGCATACTTTTGGTTGTTTCTAAATCTTCTACAGTGAGTTTTATTTTGGTAATCAGGAAAACACTCACTCATTTTTGTGGAGACATGCGTGAGCTTCGGTGGGTTTCAGAAGCCCAGGGCCTTGGAGGGGGTCCCCCTAAGTTCATTGCTGGTTCAGGCTGCCATTGTTACCATCTGTTTTGTCTGGTCTCTAAATTGACTCTAAAGAAGGAAGGTGACTTTAGAAACATCTTGCATTCTAACTCAAGTGAGCGCAAGGGAAGGCAAGCTGAGGCCTTAACACACAGGCTGGTGGGGATGAGTCAAAAGCCAGGCTGGGGAGGCCTGGGGACAGGGCACTCCTGCGTGGTCTCTGCTCACCACTGTGCCCTTCCTTGGGAGCTCCCTCAGTGGGGCCGTGAGACTCAGACTTGGCTGGTGGCAATGCCAGGGTTCTGGGCCGCGAGTCTATGCCTGGAAGGCCCAAGTGGAGAGGGAAACAGGGCCCCAATCTCAGGATTGGGACGACTTGTGTATTTCTTTCCCCCAGTGGACTCCGAGCCCCTGGAAGGCGGGACCGTGTCTTTGTCAGCTCTGTACATTCCACAGCCACTTATTGGCAAATGGTAGATGCCGCATAACCCTTGAATTTTTAAATTCTCCCTAGGATGGGGATGTCTGGATTTACTGAATGAAAGAAGGCCTGATGAGCTTAGAGAGGGTGAAAGGTTCTTAGAATGAAAGTGCAGGGTGAAAGGTTCTGTTCCTCTGGGGAACAAGGGTGCTATGGTGAGGACTCCGTCAGACCAGTGCAGCTCAGCAAGGGCGCCTGCTTCGTAGGGTCCACAAAGGCATTGAGTGCTGGCTCCAGGCACCGCTCTCCATGGAGATTCTCTACCTGTGGGGCTGCTGGGCAGCGTGTAGGGTGGGGTGGGGTGGGGTGGGGTGGGGGTGCAAGAAGACGGTGATTGGGTGTTTGACCCTGTGAGCCAAGTGCCGCTAGTTCATTCGTGGGCCGGGTGGTTGGATGATTTATTTCAGTGTTTATCAGATGCCTGCTTTCTGCATCAGCAACAGCAAGAACAGAGGCTGAATACAAGGAAGCATTGGCAGGAACTGAAAGGAGACTGACAGGTCGGGAGCAGAGTGGAGGAGGGGAGAAAGGTGGTACTGTGGCTGTGTCCTGGCTGTGTCGTCACCTGCTTGGCTTTGACCGTGTGAAAGTCTCATCCCCTGCTGTGCTGACCTCAGCTGGGATGTGTGGAGAGGATCGGGTCATGTGGGGAGTTACTGCAGGGTTCACCTGCCTGGCTGTTCCGGCCAGCTGTGAGAGGGTGAGTGTGGAACTACCAAACGGGAGGGCTCAAGGTTCAGGCATGAAGGCGTGAAGACCTAAAGTCAATGCCATAAAGCCCTCTTTAAATGGTCTGGTCTCAAACGCCTGACTTCAGGTGATCCATCTGCCTTGGCCTCCTAAAGTGCTGGGATTACAGGTGTGAGCCACTACACCCGGCCCACAGTTAAGTCTTAACTAGAGCTCAGAGCATCCTGGTGGAAATTAGATTAGATAGCTAATTAGAAATTAGTTTAGATAGCTAATAAGAGCACATGGGTTTTGTAGAGGAGGCACACTTTCCTCTGGCCCTCAGTGTTAGCAGGAAGCATAGCTTGGAGCCTAGGGAGGCCACTGGGTAATAGATGGTGCCGACACAGTTCACGCACACCCATTGAGCGCCTTCTCAGTGTCCAGCCCTTAGCTTCCTTTCTCCTCCCTTTGTGACTTTTCCTAGCCTGGGAGCAGCAGTGTTGATGGTTGTAGGAGATGAGCCAAGGAAGTTGTGAGGTTGAAACAGACATCCCTGAAATGGCATTCACTACCCTAGATGGAGCTTTTTTTTTTTTTTTTTTTTTTTTTTTGTGGAGACAGAGTCTCCCTCTGTCGCCAGGCTGGAGTGCAGAGGCGTGATCTTAGCTCGCTGCAACCTCTGCCTCCCGGGTTCAAGCGATTCTCCTGCCTCAGCCTCCTGAGTAGCTGGGACTACGGGCATGCGTCACCACGCCCAGCTAATTTTTGTATTTTTAGTAGAGATGGGGGTTTCACCATGTTGGTCAGAATGGTCTCAATCTCTTGACCTCATGATCCACCAACCTCAGCCTCCCAAAGTACTGGGATTACAGGCGTGAGCCACTTGCAGAGCGACTTCTTGTGGATGAGGCAGACGTGCCTGTTCTGATAGTCAGGACACAGGATTGAAGTGCAGAGGTGGGGTTATACCCACAGACCTGGAGCCGTGTCTTTGACAGCAGCTCTGCAGAGGTTGGCACCTAACCACAGCTTCTTTAGATAATTCCTCCCTGCTTCTTAGAGACTGTTAGTGATGCTCAGAATTTCTTCTGTAAACTTCCCCATCCTTCTTGAAATTCTAAGACATCAGAAGAGAAACAATTGTTCTCACCAAGGTTTTGAAGATAAAATATATTGAACACATCCAAGATAGATCTCTTCTGAGTCTCTTGCTTCTTTACCTCTTTTAAGTACATTTCCTTTGGTTTGGACTCATCTTCAGAGATGTTCTATTGTTGCCTTCACAACAATGTGACATGTTGGCGACATTTGGACTTTGGGCCTCCATCACTCTGTCGCTGCCTTCTGCAGCCTGGTGACTTGGAAAGCACGTGTATCGCGTGTCAGACTGAGTTCAGATTTGCCACTTACTGCCGTATGTTCCTGGGCACAGCCCCTAACCTCTCTAAGCCTCACGTTCTCCATTAGTGAAATGCAGCCAGTCATAGCTGCAAGTGGGTTTGTTTTGGGAATGGCACATAAAGAACCCAGCTGAGTGCCTGCAGTATACAGGAGGTATCTCTGTGCTTCCTCTTCTCCCCTCTGTCCTGACTTCCTTTGGAGGGCTTCCTCTCCACCATAGCATGCTGTCTGGGTGGGACAGTACATCCAAGTGCTTTGCCCTGGGTTTGGTTCAGGGCCGGGCACATGACCTGAGCTAGGCCAATGGGGGTTTAACTCTGAAGGTATATAAGAATGCAGCAATGCTTGGGAGGCCATTTATTCAATAGCAATTAACAATAGGCATTTATTCAATAGACTACTAGCAATGAGTCTGATAAGACTCTAGTTATTTCCTGTGTTGAACCTGTCAGAATTGCTCTGGTTTCAGTTCCTTTTTCTTTTTTTTTTTTTTCTTCTCTTGAGACAGAGTCTCATTCTGTCACCCAGGCTGGAGTGCAATGGCACAATCTCAGCTCACTGCGACCTCTGCCTCTTAGGTTCAAGCAATTCTCCTGCTTCAGCCTCCCAAGTAGCTGAGATTATAGATGCGTGCCACCGCACTCGGCTAATTTTTTTTTTTTTTTTTTAAACAGAGATGGATTTTCACCATCTTGGCCAGGCTGGTCTCAAACTCCTGACCTCAGGTGATCTACCTGCCTCGGCCTCCCACAGTGATGGGATGGATTATAGGTGTGAGCCACTGTGCCTGGCCCCAGTTACTTATCTGAGCCCGATTTCCACTTTTCTGCCTGTTTATAGTGAATTCTATTTTAGTTTAGGTTAGAATCTGGTGTTTTGGTTTTTTGTTTCTTTTTTTGTTTTGTTTTGTTTTGTTTTGTTTTTTGCTTTTACAGGACCTTGGGAGCAGTTACACTGCCAGTGCTTGCCTCATAAATTGGCACCAATGGGTTCCAACACTTTTGATGTGTCCAGGGGTCATTTTTATATAAGAGCAGCATGGGGTTTTCAATAAAATACTGGATTTTTGTATAAGGACTTTTGCTTTTGCTTACCAGCGGCGCCCTCACTTACATAAAGCTTTGTATCCATATGTAATCAGTAGATGCCGTTTCCCTTCAGTTCTCCTTCCGCTCACTGTTGACCAGGG